TTTCCCCACATTATAATTTACATTCTCATTTTTCTTTACTATTTTTATTATGGTTGGCCTGATTTATAGTAGAAATTGTTAAGATGTCACAATCAATATTTATACCTGAAATTGTTACAGTTCTATATTCTGTATTTTAAGTGGGCTCAATAAATATAAACTGAATTGATAATTATTAACTAAGTGTATAATATCCTTGTTTATACTACCTAAACAATTCAATACAAACTTTTTTAAAAGAATTACATCCACTCATAATAATATCATCAAGAAGCTATGAATTTGCTATTCAACTGTTTTAGTATGGGTTTTAATAGCTGGGCCAATACACCATGGACCTAAAAGATACTACATATCAAGATAATAACATATACCTAGGCTTTCTATGTTTGATGTTCCAATTTGTTTAGATACAAAAGTCACCACTTTTGTCTTTATTTTCTATAATTTTTTAACAGAAATACTTCTTTCTATGCTGACAGCTTCCAAGTAACTGCAAAATGGCAAGAACTACATCATTTAATGAATATTCATATCAAAGAGATAGTTATAACATTTTTCATGCCTTTGCTCCTTTACCCTTCCTCAACACACACTTTGAGAATTACAGTGAATTTTTGAAATCCTGAAGGAACTATCTTCAATCCTTACACTAGGGTTTAAAAAATATTTTTAAACAATAGACCTTCGAATTAAAAAGGGAAAGAAATTTAGAAATAAGTATTTGTGGGAGGAAATCACATCAGCACATCCAAGATAAAATAATACATGAGAGTTGAGATTTAAAAGCGGTATAATAAATTGCTAGTAAGAAAGCATAATAATAATAGATAACATTAACACAAAAATATAAGTTCCTCAGAGATAAGAATGTCTGCTTTTTGTTTACTTTATTCCTTATTTCTAGAATGATAAAAGTCCAGAATGCCTGTTGAATAAATGAATGGTTGAACAAACAAATGAGTGCGTTTGATACAGAAAATAGATCATGATTCTCCCAGTCATCCAAGGCACATCTGTGAACCTCAGTATACTTGGGAGCAAAATCTGTAATATAGAAAAGTTCATATTCCAGCACAATGTACTAGGTTCTCAGCACAAAAGTGAAAAGTACAAAATCTTGGTGTTCAAAGTCCACAATCCAAAGCCAGATATATAAATAGTTCTGATACAATGATACAAGTGCAAAAAGAGTTATATGTATTAACGGGTCATAGACTGGTTGAAAAAACATTTGAGCATTAGCTAAAAAGATGAGTGAGAGGAGAGGAGTACAGGCACCCAAAGCAAAAGTACAGAAATCTCAAAATTCATAGTGTTTTTGGAGAACAGAAAGCTGTATATTTCAAGCTTTTAACCATAACCTGAAGTAAGAAGTATACATACAGTAATTTTTTTTTTTTTTAAGCGGAGTCTTGCTCTTTCGCCAGACTGGAGTGCAGTGGCACAATCTCTGCTCACTGCAACCTCCCCCTCCCAGTTTCAAGTGATTCTCCTCTCTCAGCTTCCTGAGTAGCTAGGACTATAGGCACGTGCCACCACGCCCAGCTAATTTTTGTATTTTTTATAGAGATAGGGTTTCACCATGCTGGCCAGAATGGTCTTGATCTCTTGACTTCGTGATCTGCCTGCCTTGGCCTCCCAAAGTGCTAGGATTACAGGTGTGAGCCATGAAACATGTTTTATGAAATAATACCCACCTTTACTCATTTGACACATTTAGCATTTTCTGATCTATTATTTCTTCTTAATAGTGGTCAAGATGCACTAAATTAATTTAAAGATCATTTCTTTGAAAAACTGGGTTTAAGCATTGAATAGACGTGGCAAGCAGACCACTGAAATGAAAATACAAAGAATGTTCTGCCAGCAGAACTCCAACTCTTCTCCCATGCAGGTGGTTTGCTGCTGAGCTGCACGGCTTGGGGAAGGGCTGTGATCTAGGTCCCTTTCCTACTTAAAACATCTCATTGTGGTAAAAAAGATCAGTAAGGAACTCCTTCTCTATATCAAATACAAGTGCAGGAAAGGAAAGTGCCACAGGCCTTTTTAAATCTACTCTAGCGGTAATGTTTGGTGCTTACCATTATTCTACCTAGAAGCATTAAGAGTGTTTAAAATTTATACTATTCTCATTTCTGGGCGCATTCTACATTCTAACTATATCTGGATCTATCTCAGAGTTTACCAAGTCACATTGTCACACTGAACTAACGAAGCAAAACTCTCTACTCCTTCCTGTATGAATAATAATTTGTGCATCCACAAAAGACTTTGTTGAAGACTATTTATTGAACACTTTCTATGTGCCAGGTTCTGTTTTAGTGCTAGGGACTACAACAGTGGGAATACAAAAGTCCAAGTCTCCTGGAGTTGATATTGTATAGAAAACAAATGAATTAATTAAATACATACAGATAATAATGAATGCTAGGAGGGAACAAAGTAGTCTCTTGGGTTTGAAAATATTATTTAAGGTAGCCAGGAAAGGCCTTTTTCATCAGGTAACATTTAAGTTGAGGCATGAAGGATGAGAAGAAGCCATTAAAGTGAAGTGCTAAGGAGAAAAACAATTTTCTCAGCACCGGAAGATTATGCATGAAGACCTGACACAGGAAAGAAATGTGTTATTAGAAGCCAGTATATCTTGAGCCCAATGACGAGTTGGGAAAAATGGTATGAGATGAGATGGGAAGTTACCTGAAGTTACTGAATTGTTCCAGTAACTAACATGGGAAGTTACTGAAGAATGACATGGTTCAATGGGTTTTATAAAAGCTTATTATTTCAGCTATGTAGAGAAGGGATTAGATAGGGTTGAGATTAGAAGCTGAGCGATCCTTTAGGAGACTAATTTCCAGGCAAGTAAATATGGAAGATTAAACTAGCTTGTTGACAATAGAAATGGAGAAAAGCAGATGGATTCAAGATGTATTTTGGAGATAGAACCAATGAAACTTATATTCAGAATTTTCTTAAAAGAGACCATAAGGAAGTGAATTGAAAATTGTGTGAAAGAATGAACGTATTTAAAAGAAAAAGGTGAAATTTTGAGGAAAGAAAGAATGGCAAAAGTATACACTAAGCATCAACCTATGAATAAAAGTAATGTATTAAAGTGGTCACATTTACAACTTTAATCTGATGTCCTACACTGGGCCTCAATTATCCTAAAATAAGATATTAAATCAAGGCAGAAAAACAGAAGAAATGATTCAAGGTTTTTAGCCTTAAATGGTTGAGGGCAGGCCACCGAAAAAAATATAATTTACCCAATTAAAATAACGAAACAAGATTTAACTAAGATCATTATAGTGAGAAACAGTTGTTCTCACTCTGGCTGCCCATTAGAATTCCCTGGGGAGCTTTTAAAAACTAGAAGCCCAGGTTCTACTGGAGTGATTCTGATTTAATTGGTCTGAGGTAGACCCAGGAATAGGTATTTTTTAAAAAGCTCCTTAGAGAATTCTAACGAGCAGCTAGGATGGAGAGTCTTGAGTTAGAAGTAGAGTACAGCTGAGGATGCCACATCAATAAACCTATTCTGCTAATGAAAGATTAATAGAGAAAATAGGATGAAAGAACGTTGATCCCAGACAAGGAATACAGGCCCATTGGTTATAAGGACATAATTCAAGACCACAAGAAAATAACAGTCCATTTTCCTCTGGGTGCCTTTTTTAAGCTGGGAGAAAATGGCATTATGCTTACCTTGTTAATAACGCAGACACTCATTTAAATGCCACACATATTTAAAAATATATTTTTTTTCCATTATGAACAAAAAGAGAGTAACAGCTGATGGTTGACTACAAGAAAAACAGAAGAGAAAGAGGAAAGTGTCAGTATTGCCCAGACAAGGAAATACAGGAAAAAATGAGTTGCATTGAGAAAGTGATCGAAAGAAAGGGATTCCGTTATTTCTGAGAGAAAAAAAAATGCATATATATATATAGAATACACCTAGCAACGAGTTTGTTTGTATCAGACAGCTCTTGAGTCTGCACTTTTCTGGATTTAACTCTTGAGTGAGCCACAGAATATTAGAGCAGGGCCGAAAGCCAAGTAACTATTCTTCTAAGTAGAACCAGAAACAATTCTTCCCCATCTGCAATGAAGATTCTCTGGTGGGTGAATGGGCAACTGAAGGCCAGAGAAATTCTATTACTTGCCCTAAATCACTCAATTAATTAGTGGTCATACTGGAATCAGAATCAATATTTTGCATTGTTAGGTTTTAATTTTGTTACATTTGCACTCTAACTCCACTGAAAACAGAAAAGAGAAACGTGTAGTGCAATTTCTAAATTGCCACATCTGGACCACTTCAAGAGCTACAGTTGTCCAGTTAAGACGGTAGTGTGAGTATGGTGCCGCCATGTTAATTTGGTGGAATAAAACCAGAGGTGAGTTAGGCCGGCGCGGTGGCTCACGCTTGTAATCCCAACACTTTGGGAGGCCGAGGCGTGTGGATCACCTGAGGTCGGGAGTTCGAGAGCAGCCTGACCAACAGGGAGAAACCCCGTCTCTACCAAAAATACAAAATTAGCCGGCCGTGGTGGCGTGCGCCTGTAATCCCAGCAACCTGGCAGACTGAAGCAGGAGAATCGCTTGAATCCAGGAGGCGGAGGTTGCGGTGAGCCGAGATAGCGCCATTCCACTCCAGCCTGGGCAACAAGAGCGAAACTCTGTATCCAAAAACAAACAAACAAACACCAGAGGTGAGTTGAGCAGAAGAAATAAAGGTGGATTATTAGTCTTAAGTGGGCGTGTCTACTTCAGGAAGGGAGTGAAAGCAAAAAACTAAGAAGCTAAGGGTGGGAGGGGGAATGAAAGGATCTCAGAATGTGGGTGTCGTGGGTGGCAAAAGGGATGCCAAGACACCAGAAGAGCAATACAAAACAGCTCCCGTGGGTAGGCACGGAAGACCTTCCGCGCCGCTGGCCGGGGGACCCCGCAGGAAGTAGGAAGGACAAGCGCGCACTACAAGTCCCAGAAGCCCCCGTTTCCTGGAGCCCGCGCCGTGCCGCGCTACGCCCGCCGGGAGCCGGCCAGAGCGACCAAGATGTCGCAGCCCAAGAAAAGAAAGCTTGAGTCGGGGGGCGGCGGCGAAGGAGGGGAGGGAGCTGAAGAGGAAGATGGCGCGGAGCGGGAGGCGGCCCTGGAGCGACCCCGGAGGACTAAGCGGGAGCGGGACCAGCTGTACTATGAGTGCTACTCGGACGTTTCGGTCCACGAGGAGATGATCGCAGACCGCGTCCGCACCGATGCCTACCGCCTGGGTATCCTGCGGAACTGGGCAGCACTGCGAGGCAAGACGGTACTTGACGTGGGCGCGGGCACCGGCATTCTGAGTATCTTCTGTGCCCAGGCCGGGGCCCGGCGCGTGTACGCGGTAGAGGCCAGCGCCATCTGGCAACAGGCCCGGGAGGTGGTAAGGTTCAACGGGCTGGAGGACCGGGTGCACGTCCTGCCGGGACCGGTGGAGACTGTGGAGTTGCCGGAACAGGTGGATGCCATCGTGAGCGAATGGATGGGCTACGGACTCCTGCACGAGTCCATGCTGAGCTCCGTCCTCCACGCGCGAACCAAGTGGCTGAAGGAGGGCGGTCTTCTCCTGCCGGCCTCCGCCGAGCTCTTCATAGCCCCCATCAGCGACCAGATGCTGGAATGGCGCCTGGGCTTCTGGAGCCAGGTGAAGCAGCACTATGGTGTGGACATGAGCTGCCTGGAGGGCTTCGCCACGCGCTGCCTCATGGGCCACTCGGAGATCGTTGTGCAGGGATTGTCCGGCGAGGACGTGCTGGCCCGGCCGCAGCGCTTTGCGCAACTAGAGCTCTCCCGCGCCGGCTTGGAGCAGGAGCTGGAGGCCGGAGTGGGCGGGCGCTTCCGCTGCAGCTGCTACGGCTCGGCGCCCATGCATGGCTTTGCCATCTGGTTCCAGGTGACCTTCCCTGGAGGGGAGTCGGAGAAACCCCTGGTGCTGTCCACCTCGCCTTTTCACCCCGCCACGCACTGGAAACAGGCGCTTCTCTACCTAAACGAGCCAGTGCAAGTGGAGCAAGACACGGATGTTTCAGGAGAGATCATGCTGCTGCCCTCCCGGGACAACCCCCGTCGCCTGCGCGTGCTGCTGCGCTACAAAGTGGGAGACCAGGAGGAGAAGACCAAAGACTTTGCCATGGAGGACTGAGCGTTGCCTTTTCTCCCAGCTACCTCCCAAGGCAGCCTGACCTGCGTGGGAGAGACGTAGCGAGGTCGGAGGAGAAAGGGAGATCCCACGTGCAAGTAGGGGGAATATCTGTCTCCCTTTTCCCGCATAGCCTCTAGGGAGGGAGAGTGACTTCATTCTCCATTTGAAGAGATTCTTCTGGTGATATTTACTTAAAAAGTTATCCCCCTCAACAACGGATACAGCGTGCTTATTATTGGGCTTTTAAGCCTCAAAAGCATGTAGTACCAAGCACTTGTATTTCCATATATTTTGTTTCGTGGGGGAGGGAAGCAGAAGAACACAGATGAAAATGTCAGTTTTTGAAGGGTCCATGCACATTCCTGACACCTCACACCTTATCTAAGTCTGAAGCTGAGGAGAAAGAGTTCTTTTAGACTTCATACATTTCCAATACGACTTTAGTATCTCTCCAGAGCCATATTTTCTCACTCTGAATTAATTCCCCATCCCTAGGTGCCTGTAGGCTATGAGACTTCCTCATTGTTTTCTAAGTAAACTTCACTACTGGTAATTAAGGAGAAGGATATGAGGAAGCAGTTTAAATAGCCCTGTTCTCATTACTCTTACCACATACATAGGGTGCTAAAGTTGATGAACACATTAATCCGTTAAGTAAAATGGTCTTTGTAATTGTACGGCGTATCTAAGAAACTCAGAAGGTGCATTTAGGAGAAAGACCTGAAAGACAGAAATAGTATGGATTCTTATGTAGAGGACTACAAAATTCTTGTCTCTACTATTACAACCAAAAAACAAATATTTCATGTATGTCCTATAAAAATATCAGTGTAATTCTTATGAAACAGGCTGGTAGAGGAGGTTTCTGAGCCTAGCCCAAGGGCTTATTCATCACCATGGGTAAATTATTTAAAATCACTTAATTAAGGAAAATATTTTCCCAGCTAGAAAAGTGTACTCATTCTCATTTAAACTCTCATTTGGAGGGATCATGTGAGTTGGCCTACTTACAAGTAGTGAAAGTTCCCTTTTTAGTTTATTTTTTTTTTTTTTTCTCTTTCACGCAGCCAAATGTGAAAGTTGTGAATTTAGGAAAATCACTTATAATGAAGTGTGAATCTTGTTATCAAATTTATTTCACTGATGTTTCCCTCCTTATCCTTGTAGCCAATAAAACATTGACATTCTCACGTTTTATAGATGAAGTAAGAAGTCTTGTGTGCTGTCTATGAGTTATAATGCTTTTGCCTTTTTAATATTACCAGTTCTTAAGTGTTACAGCCCATTCAGAATATAACTTCAGGACAATTCAAACTGCTTAATGTATGATTTTTGAGCTTCTGTATGCTAAGAAAATAGGTGTGAAAAACTGGTGTTCTGAAATAGCCTAACATTTATTGTAATTCTGATTTTTCTGCCCTTTTATTCATTGCATATTAAAGTATTAGAGTATAAAAACTAATTTGCTAAACTTTGGTGGTATGTAACACAAGATCTTCCATCATGGAGAGACATACATGTACAAAATTATCAATTTACAAGATAATTGAGTAGCAAGCAGTACAGTTATAACCGTCACCATTTTGATGCTAAGATAGTGATCATCTCCTGTAAATGCTACAATTACAGCAAGCTAGACTTGAGTTAAGCTAGTGGGAAAAAATAGCTCCTTATAAGGTGTTCTATGTTTTAAATCAAACATTTCTTTAGAATTTTAGGGTGTGATTTTGAGTAGGTTTCTGGTGGTTTGGTTTGTTTTTTAAAAACTTGATTTAACAATTCCTTTACTAAGTGATAAACGAGAACATTCTTCCAAATTCTATTTTTTATGTATTTGATAAATACTATAGAGTTATCATTATCAGTATAAGCACATAAAGGGAACCTCAGTTAAAACTTGGAGGAACTATAGAAGTAAAGGGTATGTATTCCATAAAATAAGCCTCAGGATTTTTATTACTCCTTCCCAAAAGAAAAATGAATTATAAAAATACAGCGACTGAAACAATTAGTCAAAAGTTAGCATAACATAATGGCTACAAAATTGGACTCTAGAGGCAGACAGCCCATAGTAGAACCGAGGCTCTACCACTTTTTGTGACCTTGGGCAAAATATTAATACTTAAACACTTTTTTTCCTTCAAAAGGGAGGAAGTGCCTCTCATATGCAAAATGGAGATTACAACAGTACCTATGTCATAGACATGTGAGGATTGAATGAGTTAATACATGTGACTACATAATGTCTGGTATGTAATAAGATCTCAATAAATCCTCAGTGTCATAGTTATGGAAAAGTCGTAAACCTGGAGCACTTGGATGCATGCAAAACGTGCGACAATAAATACTCAACATTTTGATTTTTTTACAGGTATTCAACAGTATGTGGTTGTACGTGAGGAGCAATGTATGACACTGTACACCAAATGATCCAAAGGGAATTCAGGACCTTTGGAATGAGGACACCTCCAGAAGGATGAAGGTGTAAAATGTATCAACATCCAGGCACTGTCCAATCTGTCTATATGGACTGGTACTGACTGCTGGGTACCATTGGACCACAGGCAGGAACTACCAGGCCCAAAGGAGAGGAGAACATGGTAAAGTTCGACCTGCTTCCCTCAAAGAACTTACATTTATTTTGCACTGTGAAGATTTCCAAATATTTTCATTAATTCATTGGACCAATGGACGTTTTTTTGAGTATACAATGTAACAGTCATTGTGATAAGCGTTTAGGATACAAACCAATAAAACACAGTTTCTTCCTTCAAATGATATGTTCATAACATAAAATGGTAAGTACAATAAATGATAATGGACTAAAGACTGGGATGGTCTTGGTGTTAGAAAGGGCAAGTAATTATCTCAATTTACGTATCAGGAGATTATTTCAATTTACATACCAGGAGGAAGAGCTATACAGATATTGAAGGACTTGCCTAAGGTTACATAGCTAATTCTTGGCTTTTAATTCCTAACCCCAAACAAAAATTAACTTGTTTATTATATTAATCTTGCCTGCTTTAATTAAAAATAGTAGTGGGCACGGTGGCTCACGCCTTTAATCCCAGCACTTTGGGAGGCCGAGGCGGGCGGATCACTAGGTCAGGAGATCGAGACCATCCTGACTAACACAGTGAAACCCCGTCTCTACTAAAACTACAAAAAACTAGCTGGGCGTGGTGGTGGGCGCCTGTAGTCCCAGCAACTCAGGAGGCTGAAGCGAGAGAATGGCGTGAACCTGGGAGGCGGAGCTTCCGGTGAGCTGAGATTGAGTCACTGCACTCCAGCCTGGGCGACAGAGCCAGACTCCATCTCCAAAAAAAAAAAAAAAAACCGGAAGCACATACCTCCTGAATGGGTGACAACAGTTTTTATTGTTTGATGAATGAAGGAAAGGGAAACTTCCTTAGCTTAAGGAAGTCTCATTAAAAATGTATCTCATAGGCCTCAAAGAACCACTTTCAGTGTATAGGATCTCACACTTGACAACTACTAGGTACTTATTGACATAAATACCCCCATACCCATTTTCCCAACAGTTAGTCAAATGTGGCACTCTGAGACCCCCAGAAAACTCCTCAAAACAGTAGCAAAGGTAGATGAACTCACAGGTGCTTGGTGCTGAGGAACAGAGGCATCTGATGAGGCTAAAAGTGGGCAGAAGGAGTTTTTAAAAGGTAAGTATGAAAGATACCTCCAGCAAACAAAACTGGCTAACGTTTTGCTTATAGCCAGCCATGTTAGCATCTTCACACTTTGTACCACCCAATGCTGAGGAGAGATGAATCAGTCAATGTGGGCCCCCTCCTCCCATATGTACATCTTTTTATCCATTCATTTTATGATTTAATAAACACCAACTATAAAATATTCAAGTTCTATGAAAAACAAGCAAATTCTACCCTCTAAGAACTAGTATACAGTATGGGAAATAAAATTACCTATATCAGTTCAGTAATTTGCATCCTTAGCCTGGAAAGACTGTCAGGGCCAAGGGAAAAGTTCTCTGTGGCCCTCTGAAGTTTCTCTGAGAAGTCACCTCACAAATGCAAATTAATTGGAGAAAAAGCATACAAATTTATATAATATGTACACACAGGAGCCCTCAGAATGAAGACCCAAAGATAAAGGAGAAAGTGTCCATTTTTATGCTGAGGTTCAATAAAATATGGATGACTATGTAGAAATATGATTGCACAAAAAGGATATGATCTTATGCTAACAGACTGAGCGAGGGATCCCAGCAGGGCCTGTCTGTCTTGGCCTCTCTGAGCCAAGATTCTTGGCCTCTCTGAGCATGCGTGCGTTCCTTCTTGGTGTGAGGCAACACCATCTCTGGAATGGGGGTCTTCTAACCCATAGGCAAAGAAGGTAGGTCACATAATTTCTTTATGAGTAGTTTTTATACAGAAAGGCAGAGGGAAAGTGAGTAATGATTTTAGGTTTTATGGCTGGCTTTGGGGAAAGGGGGTTCTGGTGTTTATGACCTGCCTTGGGGAAAAGTGATTCTAGTTTCTATGACTAGCCTAAGGGGAGAAGTGGACTGAGAAACAGGAGGGCAAGAGATCAGAGAAACACTTTTCCTTCCAAGGCCTTCATTTTGGGGTATTTTCTGAGTTCCAACATCATTTCGACTAAATCTGTTGAATGAAGCAAGGTTGAGAAGAGCCAGCCCACTTATCCTTAGTGCAAAAAACTCCCTTACTTATCACATAGATCATGAAATCCTCAGAGAAAAAGTCTTCTCTGTTATTAGTTCCAAAAGTAAGTCTATGTCCTCTAAATAACTGGTTCGTTTCAGCTAATGAACACAGTATATTGGATAGATGACCCTTCTCACATTGGCTACTAGAGAGCTGAGCCAAATTTATGCTTCACTGTGCTTTTTTTTACTTTACATCTGGCTCCACTTCTATACTCCAATTTTTTTCTTGATTTATCTTCTGTCATTTATAATAAATATTACGTGTTTTGTTGGAATGTGTGTAACCTTAGTCTCTTCTAAATTTTTTGGCATGAAAATATCTTCCTACTTTTTGGAATACCTGCAGAAGCTCTGAAGATAAGAAGGCCAGAAGACTCTGAGATATGTCCTTATTATTTCCTACAAAAGGTAGTGTCTCATCACATTGTTCATAGGGATGGATAACTGATGTGATCTCATCCTTTTAGCCAAATTTATAGCATTTTACATTTTATAGAATCAAGAGACTATGTGAAAAATCTGAGACATGAAGACAATTTGAGGAAACTGAATGTTCTTCGGGACTTTCTACGCCTAGAACAGGCCCTGATTAAAATCTTAAACACAACAGTGGGGAGAGTTACAGACTTCCAGACCTTTTCCAAAATGTGTCAAAACAGTAAGTGATAAGGAAGAAGATGATATAAGGAGGTTATTTCTCAAAATGTTATACATGCTCATTGGAAAAGACATTTAAAATGAAGCTTGGACCTGATTAAAATTAAGAGAATTTTAGTAAAAATTAAGACATGACAAGTAACATTGGAATTGTACTTATTTGAAACCTTTGGTAATTAAGTGTATCATTATTGATAATAACTGTAGGGGAAGACACATGATTTTAGTTGACTGAGTAGCTTTAAACCCTTATGACAGACTTAAAATGCAGGGAGCTGAGAGAAAGAAAAATGTTCCTTTGTCTCTCTAGGCTGCCTCCTGCAAGAAAGGAAGGACAAAAAGAAGAGGTAGGATGGAAGGATATTTTCCCCACACTTTTAAAATACTTTACAAACACTTCTATAATTATGTGATATATGTTCCTGAAAAACCCTCATAATTCTGCAAAATTGTTCAATAAAAATAACAAGCTTAAGGGAAAAATGGGTTTGGTGAACCATCAAAACATATGTAACTTTGTAACCAAGAATCTAATAAGTGGGCGGTGTGGCTCAGGCCTGTAATCTCAGCACTTTAGGAGGTTGAGACTGGAGAATTGCTTGAGCCCAGGAGTTCAAGACCAGCCTGAGCAACATAGAGACACCCCATTTCTAAAAAAAAAAATAAAATATAAAATTAGCTAGACATGGTGGTGCATGCCTGTGGTCCCAGCTACTTGGGAGGCTGAGATGGAAGGATAGCTTGGGACCAGGAGGTTGAGGCTGCTGCTACCCTTGATTGGGCCAATGTATTCCAGTCTAGGTGACAGAGCAAGACCCTGTCTCAAACAAGTACTAACAAAATAATACCAATTTTAATAAAACTAGTTAAGAAATATAAATTTTTAATAAAGAAACTACAATAAATATAAATAAAAATAACTTGATGGAAGGAAATAAGGAAGACTTATACAAAATAAAATTCACAAAGACAGAGAGAAGGCTTAATAAACATCTCTAAGACAGAATGTGGCCAAACAGAGCCAATAGGAGGAAGTAGGGTGCTGCATTCAATTGCATCAATATATTTTGTGTTCAGTGACTGTTACCTGGTGG